TAGGAGATATCCAGGTTCCCCAGAGAGATAGGAGGAGGACTGAGGTCAGGACTCTGCAGAGGAAGCACAGGACTGTGGGATGAGAGAGAAATGAGTGTCCTGAAGGCCAGTGAAGGAAACTACTTCCAAATGGATGTGGGATGTGTGACAAATGCTACAGAAAAAGTAATGTGACTAGGACCTTGTAAAGGTGTCAATGCTTCCCTGGTAGGGTCCCACAGACACCTTTGAGAAGCCTCCTCAGGTTGCTTTGGGAGTGAGTCCTCCCTGTGGCCTGAAGGGAAAGCCAGAGCCCAAACTGTCAGGTCTCCATGTTTCCTACCGGTAGCCACTGCCAGGATGTTTTGGCTGCAGAGAGGCATGTAAGGGCCATGAGAGCCTGCTTCTCCAAGGCTTAGGGAACAGGTGCTGTCAGTGAGAAGTCTCCCAAGGAGGAGCTGAGCCAGGGAGGCAACGGATAAGGATTGGAAAGGTTTGTGGCCTGGGAAGTTGCTTGAGATGCAGCCACTGCGGCACACAACCTTTCCAGCACAGAGCCTCCTGCCAGGTCCACCTCAACCACAGCTAAGGGTTGGGGGTCAGAGCAGAGGACAGAAGCCCAGGTTCTGCCCTCAGGAACTTGCAAACACAGCCCATGCAGGACCTTGTGCTCTAGGTGTCTTTAAGGAACACAGATAAGGTCAGGATTTCCCTCCCAAATATTCTAGACTTTCCCTTTCCCCTTGGTGACAAGCATGTTTTCATTTCCACTGCCTCATTCTAAAGGGAACAAAAGCTACCATAATGAGTACCGGTTAATAATGCGGATTTTTTCAATAGGTGGAGTTACCCATATGTTGATATATATATGTGATTAGACATGCATGCTATTTTGTTGTATTGACAACAAGCTTCAAAACTTCATATGTCAAATTTTCTGATATTTTTATACCTAACAATGTTGAATTTAATGCCAAAAAGCATTTGCAGGAAATTTTAATTCATTATTTTGTTATTTTTATACCTAAAAATGTCGAATTTCGTGCCAAAAAGCATTTGCGGGAAATTTTAATTCATTATTTTGAAGAAAAGTGCTGCTGAAAGTTATCGTATACTTTGGGAAGCTTATGGTGAACATGCTCCATCTCAAGATACTTGTGAACGCTGGTTTAAATGCTTTAACCCTAACCGGTTTGGTTTAGTGAATAGAACAGTGATGGCGAACATTTTGAGCTCAGTGTGTCAGCATCTTGAAAAACCCTAACTTAACTCTGGTGCCGTGTCACATATAGAAAATTTTTGATATTTGCAACCATAGTAAAACAAAGATTTATATTTTTGATATTTATTTTATATATTTAAATACTTCGGGAAGCTTATGGTGAACATGCTCCATCTCAAGATACTTGTGAACGCTGGTTTAAACACTTTAAAAGTGATGATTTCCATGTGAAAGACAAAGAACATCCAGGTCAACTGAAAAAGTTGAACCACAACAATCACAAGCATTATTGGATGAATATGCATGTCAAACTCAAAAACAACTTGCAGAAAGACTAAACGTTGCTCCGCAAACAATTTCCGATCATTTACAAGCAATGGGAAAGATTTTAAAGGAAGGAAAATGGGTGTCACATCAACTGAACGAAACACAAATGAAAAACCGAAAAGTCATCAGTAAAATGTTGCTTCAACAGCACGAAAGAAAGTCTTTTTTGCATCAAATTGTGACTGGCGATGAAAAGTGGATTTATTTTGAGAATCCCAAATGCACAAAATCATGGGTTGATCCAGGTTATCCATCAACATCGACTGTGAGGCCAAATAGCTTCAGAAAGAAGACAATGCTCTACATTTGGTGGGATCAGGAAGGTGTGGTATTATGAGCTTCTAAAACCAGGAGAAACCGTTAATACTGATCGCTACTGACAACAAATAATCAACTTGAACCACACTTTGATGATAAAATGATGAGAATGTGCCAGAAGACACGGCAAAGTAATTTTGCTTCATGATGACACACCATCACACACTTCAAAACCAGTTAGAGACACGTTAAAAGATCTTGCCTGGGAAGTATTATACCACCCTCTGTATTCACCAGACCTTGCTCCTTCAAATTACCATTTGGTCCCATCGATGGCACACATATTTTCTGAACACTTCAAAACGTATGAAGAAATGGAAAATTGGGTCTCTGAATGGTCTGCCTCAAAACAAGAAAAGATCCACTTTTGACTGTTTTCACAAATGGGGGAAATGTGTAGCTAGGGGAGGAACATTACTTTGAATAAAGCACTTTTGATGTTTCTCTTGAAATTATCATGTTTTCTTTGATTACAAATTCCACATTTTTTTAAATATATTTTATTGATTTTTTACAGAGAGGAAGGGAGAGAGATAGTCAGAAACATCGATGAGAGAGAAACATCGATCAGCCGGCTCCTGCACATCCCCCATTGGGGATGTGCCCGCAACCCAGGTACATGCCCTTGACCGGAATCGAACCCGGGACCCTTCAGTCCGCAGGCCGACGCTCTATCCACTGAGCCAAACCGGTTTCGGCAAATTCCACATTTTTAACCGGTAAAGGGTCAATCCACATTTTTAACCGGTACCTATGATATTAACATCTTCAGAAAATTTGACATGTGAAGTTTTGAAGCTTGTTGTCAATACAACAAAATAGCATACGTATAAAATCACATATATATCAACATATGTGTAACTCCAGCTATTGAAAAAATCTGCATTATTAATGGTACACCCGTAGCCACTCAGATCTCTGGGCCTGACACTGTGGGGCCAGTCCTGCAGCATTCTTCCTGCCTCTCTGTCTGCTCTCTGCATCACCAGAGACAGAACAGGCACAGCCTTGGATCCACTCTGCAGTCCTCAGACTCTGTAGTTCTAGGCCAGTGATGGCGAACCTGTGACACACATGTCAGAGGTGACACGTGAACTCATTTTTGGGGGATTGATTTTTCTTTGTTAAATGGCATTATCCTATCTAATAATAGACAAACAAGGTAATAAGTACCAACAAAGATGGTGGCTAATTTGCATAATGTAAGCAGGGCAGGACAGTGCCATCCCACCTTCCCTGCCGCCATCTGGGCCTGCTATCTGTGATCCTGGGTGGGGAGGTCACATGTGCAACTGGACCTGGGGCGGCCGGGCAGGGCAGCAGCAATCTGCCCGCCTACCCAGGTGTCCCGTGTGTGACCCGGGAGAGTCCCCAACCCCCGGATCCACCCTGCCCTTTTCGCGACAGGGGCCATGCCCCAACCCCAGGAATGGCCCTGCCCTGTGTGTGACCAGGGCGGGGCCCCAACCCCCCAATCGACCCTGCCCTGTGCACGACTGGGGGCAGCGCCCCAACCCCCTGATTGGCCCTGCCCTGTGCGCGACCCAGGGAGGTGGGGCAGGCACCTAGGGATCGGGCCTGCCATCTGCCACCCGGGGAGCGGGCCTAAGCCACAGGTGATTATCTCCCGAGGGGGCCCAGCCTGTCTGCAGGCAGGGCAGGATAGTGCCTTCACCTTCCCTGCCGCGCCATCTGGGCCTGCTATCTGTGATCCTGGGCGAGGAGGTCACATGTGCAACCGGACCTGGGGCGGCCGGGCAGGGCAGCAGCAATCTGCCGGCCTACCCAGGTGTCCCGCGTGTGACCCGGGAGAGTCCCCACCCCCCGGATCCACCCTGCCCTTTGAGCGACAGGGGCCACGCCCCAACCCCAGGAATGGTCCTGCCCTGTGTGTGACCGGGGCGGGGCCCCAACCCCCCAATCGACCCTGCCCTGTGCACGACTGGGGGCAGCGCCCCAACCCCCTGATTGGCCCTGCCCTGTGCGCGACCCAGGGAGGTGGGGCAGGCACCTAGGGATCGGGCCTGCCATCTGCCACCCGGGGAGCGGGCCTAAGCCACAGGTGATTATCTCCCGAGGGGTCCCAGACTGTGAGAGGGCACAAGTGGGGCTGAGGGACACCATGCCCCATCCTCACCCCCCACCACCAGTGCACAAATTTTTGTGCACCGGGCCTCTAGTATAAAATAAATATCAAAAATATACATCTTTGTTTTACTATGGTTGTAAACATCAAAAAACTTCTATATGTGGCACGGCACCAGAGTTAAGTTAGGGTTTTTCAAAATGCTGACATGCTGAGCTCGAAAGGTTCGCCATCACTGTTCTAGGCAGATACCTTGGATGGCAGTATCAATAGGTCATCAGTGTCTCATGGAGAATGTGAATGACCTTCCAACTGACTGAGGCAGGGTTGGCCAGGGCCCTGGATCCTGTAGCAGAGGTTTGTGGTGTTTTCGAGGGAAGAGTGAGGCTAGATTAATGAGCAAGCAGCACAGGACTAACTCACCACCAGCTGATTTGTCAGTGTTTGTCTTCTCACCTACCATACACAGCCAACCTTTTAGGCTTTCGAGAAGACATTCTTTAGGACTCATCTGTAAAGTTCTCGTGAGAACTCTTTTTTGTATGGCCTGGTTGGCCAGTCAGTTCTCTGGATCCTGTGAAGGGACCTGTCTAGTGCTAGAGGAAATGGAGGGGGGAGGGGGTGTGAAGGCCTGTCGTAGGGAGCAGCTACTCTGACCTTAATGCAGACTTAAACTCACAGGAACCTAGAAAGACCTTTCCAAACAAGTACATGGGAAGGGCCCTGGGGAGCAAGCAAGTAGTATGGGAGGTTGGAGAAGGAGATCCTGTGGGCTTCAAGAATTGCAGTGGGCCTTCTACAGGAGGCCAGATGACCCAGGACTGAGAAGATAGGCATCCAGATGAGTGTAAGTGAGGCCGGGATCCTTGGCTCTTCTACCCAGTTCAGGATCTTCCTCTCAAGGTAGATGGGTCTGCCTCTCCCTCCCTGAATCTCCTGCCTGCTGTCAGGGGCAGATGCTCTCAGAGGTCCAGGGGTCAGGTGGGAAGGCCAGCTTCAGGGCTGAGAGCAGCAGCCTCCTGTGTTCACTTCCTTAAACTTCCTGTCTCTCTGCTTTCTCCCTGCCAGGACCCAGCCGCCGCCTCCATCTCAGACGGAGACTGTGATGCCCGGGAGGGTGAGTCAGTAGCCATGAATTACAAACCATCCCCGCTCCAAGTAAAGCTGGGTGAGTGGGTCTGGGGGGTGAGAGAGATGCGGGGAATGGACCAGGTGCTCTGGGCTGGGTCTGCAACATGGTGCCACGAATTAAACCACCTAGGGCCAGATGGTTCCAAGACTCAAGCCACCAAGTCACTGTCACTGCCAGGTACCTTATTTCTTGCAAGGCAAAGAGAGACGTTACAGTGCTCTGCAGGACCCAAAACTCTAGGAGGCGTCTCTGAGGCCAAGATGGCTCCAGTTGTTCCAGGGGAGAGGGGCAGGGTTAAAGGCGGGGCGGTCCCATTCAGCCCTGAACCGGGCTGCGAAGCTGCCTTCGAGGTGGGTGGCACTTGCTATGTCTGAGGGTTAGAAAGAATGAGGATTCCAAAGCCTAGAAGCTGAGCCCCTCTCCCCATTCCATCCTCAGCCCATCTGGACATCTCAGGGCCTAGTGGGCTCCAGTTTCAGGGAGCTTTTTCTTAGTGTTTTTTAGTAAACTCAAATCTCTCTCCCCCTTTCCAGGGTCACCTTCCCCTTGGGGTTTTTCTCATGTCCATTCTGAAGTCAGTTGACTCTACAGCCTGCTCTTTGAAGTCACTTGGCTCCCACCCACTGCCCATAGCTCCAGCAGGTGCTGTGCTCACTTCACCCTGGGCCCAACACTGCCCCTGTCTCTTCAGGGACCGAGGCTGCTTCATATAATAGGCTTTATTAAAAACTTGGTTTGTGAAGAGAAGTTGCAACATAGTACATGCAGGAGAGTTTACAATCACATACAGGTGATCACTAGCCTTCAAACGCCTCTGCCACCCCGTCTCCTCAGGCTCCAGCTGCCCACTGAACAGTGGGCCCCTCAGCAGCCCTAAGAGCCTGAACCTTCTATCCTAACCCTTCTCCCGCTGCAGCTGCCAGGACTCCCTTTTCACAGAGTTCTGTTCTGTTATTTTTTTGAAAAAAGGTTGTTTTTTTACCTTGCTTTTCTCCTTCCAGACCACAGCTAGAGAACCCCTCAGGCTGTTTTTCTAAACAAGAGAGAAGCTCTCTCAGTGGAATTTGTTCCTCTTCCAAAGATATCAGACTCAAAGTACAGCGAATTTTGTATATTACTGTTTAATTTAACAATACAAGTGTCCTAACAAGTATAACTTCTTTTATTCTCCCTATCACATCTTCTCCCAAGATAATCATTCCAAATTTTTGTTTTTTACTTTTTAAAAAAAAAAAAATAGAATGATGAAAGAGAATCACACCCCCCACTGGGGACGGAATATGCTCTGACTGGGAATCCACCCATGATGTCCTGGTTCATAGGTCGATGCCTAACCACTGAGCCACACCCGCCAGGCCGACTTTTACTTTTTGTTGTATTTAGCATAAGTGGTAACATACTGTACACATTTTCTGAAACTTCTTTTGTTTTTGTTTTCCACTTAATGTCTTGGAACTTCTTCCAATGCCAGTATATAGAGAATGATTTCATTCTTTTAAGTAGTTGCATAGTAGACTGTAGTTTGGTTTTGCCAGTTTATTCTTTGCATTTTTTCACTTTCAAACATGCTTTTAAAATAACAATTTTTTCCTTTTCCGTTACATTACCACCGAACTCCTCATTAAAATTCAAAACCTTGCCCAGTAGCACTAAGGGGAAAAATCACCACCACCACCTCCAGGAATTTTAAGGCAGATTGCACCCCCTAGAGGCTTGGAGCGGGAATGGTAGCTGCTGCCTGCTGAAAAGAGGCTGGGGAAAAACTGAAGGAGCCAGATGAGCAGTGGCAAAGTAAAGAGGGTCAGCAACCTGGAAATGAGAGAGTCAGAGACAGGGCGGTCAGAGGAAAGTCCAGAGTCACGGTTGCCGGAAATGCCCACCCATCCTTCCTCTCCGGAGCTGTGGTTATTTTATGAGTACTTTCCCCTAGCATCCCTCTCCACCCAACAGTCCCTTTCCCCACATCTAAGCTCTACTTGAGATGAGTAGGAAGGGTAGACAGGCCTCTTCCAGGGCCTGGCAGATTACTGGTTCCTGGTAACAGTGCCACACCACACACCAGACAGTAGGTCACCTGGTAGCCAGCCCCACGAATCTGGTGGGCTCTGGAGCCTCAGAGAACTCCAGAGGCTAGCAGAGAGTCAGAAGTATAGCCAGAGGGCCTGGGCTCCCCCAGCCTCATGCCCCTGACCCTGCCGGCCCCATTCTGCCTCTCCTACTCCATAACCCTTGGTGGCTCCTTTTCCTCCCACATTAATCCCAAACCCCTCTATCTGGCATTCAAGGTCATGCCCTGAGTTTGTCATCAGAGGGAGTCCCTAGCCCCTTAGCACAGGTCCTGGGATTGGTGACATAGATGTTGTTAATAAACAAATGACTGAATAAATGTATCTTACTTTTTCAACCTGTCCTCCATCTTCACCCTCCATCCCATCCAGATCCACAATTACTATGCTCACTTCTAAATGCATTTCTGTATACACTATCCCTCCTTCCTAGGATGCCCTGCTCTCTCCAATTCAAGATGTCATCTGTAGGAAGCCCTGACGGCCCCATCCTTCTGCTCCATCTCTCCCTCTCTAACCTTTCTCTGGCATCAAGCACACACTAACTGCTCCACATGGGAGTACAGCTCCTGGAAGACAGGGGTCAGCTTTCCTGTTGCCCCTCACTATCTGTCTCAGGTTGTGCAGGGCCAAGTACTGTTTCCACCAAGCAGCAGAGCCTGGAATTAGGACCCCTCCACAGTTCCTACAGAAGCAAAGAGTTTCCCAATGGAGGCCCAGCCTAGGCTGCCCTGAGCAGTAAGGTAGGGTGGTCCTGGGGGCAGGACACAGCTTCCTTCCCATATTCCCCTGCAGAGAAGCAACGGGAGCTGGCCCGGAAGGGCTCCCTGAAGAATGGAAGTATGGGTAGCCCTGTAATCCAACAACCCAAGAAGAACACTGTCATGGCCCGGACAAGGTAGACACCCCCACACATACACCCCACCTGGACCCTGCCAGTCAGCATCTGTCCTGATGCTGGTCCTGAGCCTTCCCCTCTTCCCTCCTTCCTCAGGCCTAGCTCCTCTCTGAGAGCAGAGAATCTCAACAGAATCCAAGCGGGAGGGAGGAGGGGAAGGGAAGTGGTGGGGTGGGGCCCAACCCAATTCCTCACCAGACTTGTGTGCTCCTGTTGCCAATCCAATCCCCCAAATTCTCCACCCAGGCTGGTCGTTCCCAATAAAGGCTATTCCTCGCTTGACCAGAGCCCAGACGAGAAGCCACTGGTAGCCCTTGACACTGACAGGTGTGTACGGGGATGTTGGGGCAGCTGGGCAAGCCACAGGAACCTGTGCGAGCATACAGGTGGACTGTACAGGCCATACCTGTTATAGTGTCAGAATTGAGATATTCCTCAGACAGCCAGGAACTCTCCAAGGATGAAGCCTCCAGGGACTGGAATTTTTACCCGGAGGTGGGGAAGAGTAGAGAGAGGAAAATGGGACTGGTACAATCTATTGCTATTCTGGGACAACTGATCCAATGGCTGCCCTGAGAATGGGCACTGATTCAATGCTTAATACCTTGCCTCCTGCAAGGGAGCAGCCCTACTGCTGGGAACACACCTGGCTAGACCTGGACTTTGGGAAAACTCAACAAGCCAGGGTGATTTGAGCCTAGATAAAAAGGGGGAGGGGTGGGGAAAAAGGAATAGCATCTCTACTCAGAAAGAGGTTAGGGTGGCAATTTATTTAGAAAGGTGGGGCTAAGGAACCTGTCTTAAAACTCCATTGGTACAGCAAGCAGTTTTCATTTAGATTGAGCTGTTTATTTGGAAGTGTGGGAGAAGGGTGGGGTATTGACTGGTGGGGGTCAGGGGGTGGTGCAGGGAGTTTTCTATTTAATTTCCAGGAATCACTTCCCTCTGTCTCCTTTTCTCCATGGCCAGCGATGATGACTTTGACATGTCCAGATACTCCTCTTCTGGCTACTCCTCTGCTGAGGTGAGGCCCCACCCTTCCTGCCCTGGACACACCCCTCCAAGCAGGGATGGGCCAATGCCAAATCACACCTGAGCGGTGCTATGGGCCAAGCGAGGCAGAGCCGCTGTGGGGGTGGGTCCTAAATGGGGCAGGGCTGAATAAAGGTGAGGCTGTTAAACCCTGGCCTCAACCTAGGGGCTCCTGGGATTAGGGTGGGACTTGAACCCAGGATTGTCACTTACATAGAATGCAACGTGAAAAACAGATGACACCGTACGGGGATGTGCCTCAAGTAGGAGCAGGGCCCTCAGAGAGACAGGCCCTGAGGTGGGAAGTTACCTGTAGGATGGGGTGGGGTCTGTCATGGGGCAGAGCCTCACAAGGAAGTGCCTGTAAAGAAAGTGAGGCCAGAACTGAATTAGGGGTGAAGCCAGGGGTTTCTGGAGAGACCTGGGAGGGGACAGATCTGGGGAAGGCCTGGTGGTTGGTGCCCCTGGGTCCCTGGAGCCTGACCTCCCTCCCCTTTGTCTACAGCAGATCAACCAAGATTTGAACATCCAGCTGCTGAAGGATGGCTACCGGTTAGATGAGATCCCCGACGACGAGGACCTGGACCTCATTCCCCCCAAGTCCGTGAACCCCACTTGCATGTGCTGCCAGGCCACGTCCTCCACTGCCTGCCACATTCAGTAGTGGGTGGGGCCGCCGCAGCCAATGGAGCCGGGCCACTGGGGGCCAGGTTAGACAGGGCAGGGGCAGACCCCTCCCCAGCTCTTCTGCCAGCCCCCCGGCCCCGCGTCCCCTACAGCCGCCAACCTCGTAAAAGTCATTGCTTCCTCCTATGGTAGGACGTGTACCTCTGTGTGTTCATGGAGCCGGAGAAACCAAAACCGGGTCTCTCTCTACCCCAGAAACTGAGGAGGGGAAGGGGCTGTTTGTCCAGTTACTTGGGGGACTTTGCCCAGCACCTTTTTGCTCTCCCAAAGCTACAGTCCAGTGGGAGAGTGGGGGACTGGACAGCAGGGAGGCCAACAGTAATGAGTGGGAGGGATCACAAAGCCAGGGGCTTGGCCCCACCCCAAGCCATGAACCCCCAGCCCAGTAAGGAAACAGACTCTGAGGTAGAAAGGCCCAGTGGAGTGGGGGCAAGGCCTAGCACCTCGGAGCCCCTCCAGCAGCCCCTGTTGGCCATGTACCTATTTGCATTTCTCCCCTCATCTCCAGATGGGAAGCCTGGCAAAGTTGCCCAGTGGAATATTGTCCCCCACCTATCGGATCACTGCCTACTTCTTCCTCTTTGCCCCATTCACCCCTCCCTCCCTTCTTTCCTTCCTTCCTTCCTTCCTTCCTTCCTTCCTTCCTTCCTTCTTTCCTTATTCTCTGAGTTGAGGGTAAGAGGCCTTAGAGACAGGCCAGAGTTTGGGATGGTTGGGATGGTATGATCTGTCCTCACCTGACCCTAACCAATGTATCTCCCTGCCAACCCCCTCCCCCCCCCACACACACACATATACACACACTCACACACACAAATGCTTCTGTTCGTTGGCCTCTGTCCCAGGCTAGAAGCAGGAGGTAATACTAGCCTCGAATGCCCCATTCCCATCTCACTCCAGCCCAAGATTTCAAATCCTTCTTCCCAGTAAGAACCTTCAAGGGAGCAAGCTTAGGAGAATGCTATGGCTGCCTGTGTGCAGGGAGCACTTGATAGGATGCGTGTGTGCCTGCGGCTGTCAGGGTGTGCGTCTGTCTCTGTGCGGGCCTGTCTTTTTAGATGTCCGCTTCTGTCCTAGATGGTGAGGAAGTGACTGTGTGGTCTGTTAACAGTGTGAGAGGCAGTGCAGTGGACTGAGAGCCCTGGACTGGGACTCAGCCTGGTTCTCTAGCCCCAGCTCTGTCTCTGTCCCGGTGGTCTTCAACAAGCCGCTGCATTCCCTGGGCTTCAACTGTCAAATGAGCAGCGTCTGAACGTTCTGAAGAAACTTTGTCAGGGGAATTTCTGTGGAGGGGTATGGGGGGGTCTCTGTGTGTCTTTGAGTACACCTAGGAGGCTTCCTGAGTTGTATGTCTGTGTGAAAAGGAGAAGGGGGAGTTCCTATGGGACCTGTGTATGTTTGAGTGCATGCAGATCTATTTGGGAATACATGTGTGTGTGTCTATGAATGTGTATGTGTGTGAGTATATATTGAGTATGTGGGTATATGGGGTGTCTGTGAGTCAGAATGTGTGTATTGCTGTCTCTGCTGCAGTTGCTGGGGCGGGGAAGATGCCAGAGAAGCTGATGATGAAAGTCAAGGTCCTCCCCTGGGACTGGGCAATATAGACCTGCCCCATGTAAAGAAAAATGAAAGCACAGTTAGCCTAAGACTGCTCTGGTCTATGCCCCAAAAAACCCCATATCCCAGGGCCAGGGTGTATACCCTCCATTCTTCCATGCTGCCACCTCACAGCCCATTCCCTGGGAGGTGGAGCTGGAAGGGGGAGAGGGAAATGAGAGAATAAGGCTGCTACTTAGGAAGGATAGCAGCTCTCCCTGTACTATACCCAGGGGTCGCCAGCTCCAACGTACTAAGGTGAAGCTCTCCAACCCCTAACCCAGCCCTACCTCCTCTTGTACAGGAACCCTGGTTAGATGATGAGAAAATGCCAAAGGGAGACAAGGACAGAGACGGTATCTGCAGGGCCCACAAGGCCCATACCAGCCCCCAACTGTGCCCATCTCTCCCACCAAGGTCAGATCCCTACACCCTGTCGTCTGGGCCCCAGAGCCAAGCCTCCTACTACTATCACCACCACCCTGGGTTTCTTGACTCACTCTTCGAGAACATGGGTACTTCCTCTTTTCCAAGTAGGGCCCCACCAGGGCTCATTTAGACTGCTACCTTTGCTGCTGATTTGCTGTGTGACTACGGC